TTTTAAAACTAATTTTTTATATGTATTTTTTTTAAATGTATCTTTAATTAAATAAATAATTTTTAAATTTTTATTGATTAATTAATATTTTTATTAGATAAATTTAAAAAAATATTATATTTATATGTCATAATAACTTATTATAATTAATAATTTAAACTTAATTAATTAACTTTTATAATTTAAATTATAATATTATAATATATTTACATATTTTAATAACTTATTTTAAAAATATAATATTTTTAATAATAATTTTTTAATTTTAATTTTAATATATAAATATTGTTTTTTATGACAAGTCATTTTGTCTCTCTTGTCCTTGGTCTATCGAATTGACGGACTAGACAGGACGGACTAAAACTACCAACCTGTCCAGCTAATGTTTTGGCAAGTTAGCGAACTGGTATATCGGATCTAACCCGTTTTATCATCCTACTTGTCTTATTCTTCTAATTAAAACTATTAAATTAAAATTTGATAAAATAAGTTTTTTCATATTTTAAAAATAAAAATATTTAAATTATCCAAAAATATTACAATTTAATATATTAGATTTAAAAAATATTATATTATAAATTTGAAGATTACAAATTATCATAATACATATATGTTTCTTAAGTAAAAAAATATATATAATTTTTTTAAAATCAATATTAAAACTTAAAAAATATCAACTAATTATTTTAAATTATGATGGCAATAAATAATTTATTAATTATAACAGTAAATAATTTTATTTACTATAACATAAATAATTAATTTTAAATTATTTTATCATAATAAAGCAATTATTCATCTAATTAAAAAATATTAAATATTTATGAGTTAAATATATTTTTTATTTAATAACTTAATCTAATTATAATTAGGTTGAGTTATGAAGATTAGTCATATTAAATAATTTTAAAAAATATTTATTAAAAAGATATTTTAAATTAAATATTTTTTTTAATAATTATAACATAACAATTTATAATATCTCAAATTTATAATATAATATTTTTTAAAATATAATATATTAAATTATAAGATTGTTGGATAATTTAATATATATTTTTAAAATAATAAAAAATCATTTTATCAAATTTTAATTTAATATTTTTAATTAGAAGAATAAAATGAGTGACAAAAGAACAAAAGAAAGAGAGAAAAAATAACAAATACTAGGATAGTGAAAAGAAAACAATAAGAAGCAAATGGAGAGAGAAATAAGAAATAAATGAGGAAAGAAAACAAAATACTTGTGTTCCATCATAGGAAATTATTTCCCATTATTGAATGTTGTGTATGAATAATAAACAGAAATAAATTTATAGAGATTTTATTTGGATAGTTTTTTTATTTTAAATATATTATTTAAAAAATTATTCCTATTACGATGTCTATTTTAAAAATGGAGGAGATATAAATGCCATTCAATACTGTTTTATGAAAAATTAATGCAATTTTCCCTAAATTATTCAAAGTATTAAATAAAAATGATCTGGTCATTATTACTTTCAAAATCTTCTAAAATTTGTATTAAATTATGGAACCGTTACATTATTAATAATTTATGAATTAAATTATTGATCCAATACCTGCCTTAAATATTGAACCAACAGTTACTAATATACACATAATTAAAATTGACAATTAAGAATATTGTATTTACAATATTTACTGTCTTTAAACTGAGTTTAATTTATCTATACTATATAAGTGTGAAAACCATCTATAAATTAAATTACTTATTTATAAAATTAAACCATCTATAAGTGTGAACTGTCAATATAAGTTTTTTATACTTTCAATAAACATATTATTTACTCGTTTGAAGTTTACTTATTATCAAATATCTCACCAAATTTATGTAAAAGATTGTCTTATCTGAATGATGACTTCTAAATTATCATAAATTTGTATACAAATATTGAAAAGTAATATGACTCCATATTTATTATACCTTTAAATTTTAAGTGATCTCGGTTAAATGTTACTGAAAGTTGTCATAAATTTATTTTAGTTTTAACTATATCATACATAACTATTAATATATATTCATTTATTTTCACAATAAATTCCTTTTTTTGTGTGACACATGTATTTCTTTTCCACAAAGAGACAATCTTATTTAAAGAAGATAAAAGAATATGGACAATAACTTAGCCTTTTAAATAGGGATTAAACGTGTTTAGTTATTTATGAACTGTTTAATTAAACTTGATTTCTTAAATGCTAGATTAAACTCGCTACTTAATTAAACAAACAAACGAAATTTTTTTAGATGATTGATTAGTTAAATACTCTCACTTGTTTAAGGAAAAAAAATGCAAATACACCTTTTTAACCGTTTCTCTACTATTAGTTAAAATTTAGAAATTTTAATGAATCTCAATTTTTATTTAATGGGTTTCTTTTTATTTAAACTTGAGATACATCAAAATTTTCGATTTTTAAATTTTTTTGATCAATAATAAAGTGAGTTTTTCAAAAAGATAATGATTGATAGATTTGCTTGCACTTCTCTTAAATTTACAAGTTGAATATTAATTAAGATAACGAGTATCTCGTTTATATAAATCAATGAACAAAAATTTCCGTTAACCTTTGTTATTTATAAATTAAAAAGTTTAGATTTTTTTCAAAATGATTAATTTATAAATGAGTTTTAAACAAATTAAAATGCAGCAATAGCGTTTGATGAGACATATATGTCCTTAATTTGGAATAGTTAAGAAAACATATTCAGAGTTTGAGTTCAAAAGCAGTGGTTAAATAAACGTAATAGCGTGTGAGTTGATGGAACGTTATGAAAGTGTTCCTCTTAGTTTACGTAAGCTCGAGCATAATCATGAAAAAAAGGGGCAGTTATGTGTTTACCGCGAGGATAATGTTTCACAGCGTATTCATTTTTCGGAAACAAATGATTACGCTATGTTTCCGCAGATGCTTCCAAAAGCATTATACGCCACACTCACATTTTTCTTTATTACCTCGTCGTCATATCTCTGAAACAGAACTTGCTGTTGCATTCACCTCTTCACTTCTGTAACCCCTCACAACAGGAGCTTCAATAATGGCAGAAGAACGTCGATTCGTTTCTCTCGCCGACCCTCATCTCTTCCTCCGTCTCTCGTTAGCAATGCTTGGTTCCGCAGATAATAACTCTGACTGTGACGATGATGCTACCAAAGAAGATGATGATTTTGTCTTCGACATAGATCCTACCGTGCTAGTGGATACTCGTAAACTTATCATTGATGAACCGATTGTAGAAGGGTCACATTCAGTTGTCTTCAAAGGATGGTGGGTATTCTAATTGCAAAATCTAATATTAATATGTATATGTATATGTATATGTATATGTATATGTGTGTTTATGTTTATGTTTTTAGCATGTCGTTTTGTTGAGTTTTTTTTTTTTTTCTGCATATTTTTCCTACCATATGATTCAAGCGTTATACGCGTTTCAACGTCAACTTTTTTTCCTTGAAAAATGCCCAGACTAATTAGCTTTTTGCCATTTTCATTTATTGATCCGAGACACTTCTCTTTTAGATTTAATGCTTGTGTTTTTTAACTTGCTACCTGGATTTCTGTGGAGCTACTCAGTTTTTTGATGCTGTAGATGATGGCAGATTAGACGTTTATATTTCACCATTTCAAGGCATTAGTGATATTTTTATGTTAATATATTAGTATATAATTGTTTTCATTTTTCTCTAATTGTTTTTTTTCAATAATTTTATATACCTTTTCCATGATGATGATGATGAGTATATTTGCCTCACTTAATATTTTTAAAATAAAACTAGTTATTAAATTAAAACTTGACACTTAATCGTTTTTTTTATTTTATTTTTTATAAAAAATAAAATATATTTATGGACTAAGTTAGATTAATTATTTTTTTGGGTTCACCAAAGAGTGAATAGATTATGTCAATTCATTTTTGAGTAATCCATGGTGAGACAATACAGATGAATGGGGCTGTTCCACGTTAATAATTATATATAACAGAAAGAAGTTGTAAGAAAAATTTAGAATAAAAGAATATGGTAACTTTATAATTTTTTTAACAAGATTAGAATGAAAGTATTAAATAATAAAATATATTTAACGTTGCATAAAATATTTAATCCTTAATATGTAAGAGACGTTAAAGTAAATATATTTTATGTTAAAATAATATACTTGCATTTAAAACTGTTCTTTTAATTATTAATTAAAAATAATCTATTATTTAGTTTATAATTCTGGGTGGGTCACACATTCTTTTATATTTGTAATTTTTTTTAAACAAATTCTTTATTATTAACATTCCAAATTCTAGTAATATATTTTATAACATATTCCAAATAATCAAACATTCCAAACACATTATTAATGCTATACCTTCCACATAAGGTATTTTGATATTCTTTTAAACACATTTCTTTTTATTAACTAAAATTCAATAAAAAAAACTCTAAATTTATTAATTCTTACTTTTTATTTTATGAGTTTTAAAGTTTTCAATAATTTTTCAAACGTTCAAATGAGCACAGAAAAGAGTGTTGGCATCACCAATGGTGTGCTCAACCAGTTAATTAAGAAAAGTGAATGAAAAAGTCTTCGTCTCTCTTTCTGCATACGCATGTGTAGAAGCATGATTAGACACCATGGCTGAAGATGTCAATAAGCTTTATCAACTGATGAAGGTGTGTGAAAGAGCAATGAATACTGGTAACACCTCTTATCAGTAACCACATGGTTTTAGCCCATTTAGCTGGTTTAAATGGTTTTAACCTTCTTTTAGGGTTCAGTTTTGCTAAGGTGATTAATTTTTCGTCCGACCGTTTAAACTAAAATTAAATACAAGAATAAGGTATTGCAATTTTATTTAACGTTGTAACTTGTCGAATTCATAAAGCATTGATGTATCTTAGAAGTACTTTTGTCTGAACTCATTGACAAACTCAGTCAGGGAAGGTCTCTTAAACAAGTGATGAATTCATGTTTTCTCGAAGTTTCTTTACCAATTTTTTGTATCGTCTCTCGTATATACATATACCTCATCAGTGATTGTGTATTAATTACACACTCCATCATCACAAGTAGTCAATTATAATAAATATACAATTTGCTACCTAGTGAGTATGCTTGTATAACTAATTAGTCATTTATATGTATTTCAGTTGGTGCCCAGGTACATGCAATAAAATATATGTAACAAGGGGCTTCTTCAAAATTTCATGGAGATTCACCTTATTTGTTTCTGCTTTTACACTTTTTAACTATGTTGTTTAATTTGTTCAATTTTTTGTTTTTTCATCGTGAGCATTTTTATTAGTCTATAAATCTTGCTGTTAGTAATATAAAATCCCAATTTATAAGTCCCATATTGAGTATAATCTATTAATTTTAGCATGCTTCCTTGGCTTGGATTTGTTCCCTTTAAATTTATGCAAATAAGAATTCAGTAAATTTGCACTAAGTTTTCACTGATAATTGATTGTTACGTGGATATTATGGATTTAATCACATGTGAAATCACTCATTAGCTATTATAAAATTTACATGTGAAACCATTTATTTTAATTAGTTTTTGCTGTTTGCTTGTGGTTAGGTATGAATTCATTCCTGTATCGATGAAGGTTATGCTTCCAATGCAAACATCAGATGTTATTTCTGATTGTAAAGCAAAATTTCAGCGGGAGGTTAACTTGATATCCAAAATTGAACATAAAAATATCATTAAGGTACTTTTCAGTGTTCTTTCTTACTTTAATGCTGCATAACCTGTCTTTTTTACTCCCCTTCTTTTGCTTAAGCATGAGATGTAATTTAGCTGCAAGTATAATGAAATTTAAACTCATTTTGCAGTTTATTGGTGCCTCTGTGGAGCCAATGATGATAATAACAGAACTTTTGGAAGGTTGTTCGCTTCAAAAATACCTGGAGAGCATCTATCCAAGTACTCTGAGTTTAGAGCAATCCATAAGTTTTGCTTTGGATATTTCTCAAGCTATGGAGTATTTGCATGCGAATGGAATCATTCACCGCGATCTAAAACCTGGTTTTCCCTTTTTTTCTTATTTTCTTATATAGAATCTGCTAATTTGAATGTTTTTCTAATTTTTGTTGTATATTGTCTTCTTAAAAATTGAGGTAGGGGGGGGGTAGGGTTTAAAGAATTTATACAATATCTAACTGCAGATACCGACCAGTTAAGGGCATCTACTGAATTAAGTATTTTTATTTATTTTTCCTTTACAATAACTAGTTGATTCACAATCATTTGGTTTTCATTTTTTTTAGTACAAGAGGTGCTGTCATTTCACTAGTTCTTCATGACTTATTTAGGTAATATGCTTCTTGCCAAAGACAAAATGCAAATTTTACTTACAAACTTTGAGACAGCCAGAGAGGAGATATCTGGTGGGATGACTTCTGAGGCTGGTACATATCGGTACATGGCTCCTGAGGTACATGTTATGGTGTATTGTCTCTTTATAAGTATCTACCATCAGTACTGTATATTATACCTGTCCATTACAAGAATTTTCTTCATATATATATATATATATATATATGTTTCGTATATCTAATCCTTCCATTTTTTGCACTAGATATTCAGCAAGGATCCACTTTCAAAAGGTGAAAAGAAATGCTATGACCACAGGGCTGACGTCTATAGTTTTGCTATGGTTCTGTGGGCCATAGTTAAAAATCAAACTCCATTTAAAGGAAGGAGTGACTTGTTGGCAGCATATGCTACTGCAAAAGTAAGTCATACAATTACTCTTAGTTCTAATTTTAATGAAAAAGAGTATTACTTCCTTACTTCTTTCTTTCCATTTTTAACATGGTGCTTTAAAATGTTTAATTGTTTTCTTCTTCCAATAAGTTTTTATCCCTTTCTAGACGAGGTATTCATATGAAATTGTACCGAATGACTAATTTGCTAATTTTTTGTACTATTTTTTCTCTCATATCATAGTTCTCCTTGTCTTTCATACTTTTTCAATCTAATCTTTATTACATACGTTATGGTTTAGGAGAAATGTTTATTTTAGATCATACCAATGATTGTGCCACCAAGTTAGACCTTCAAAGATAATTAATGCCATTTATTTGTTCTTCAGAAGGTTAGGCTATTGTCTAAAAACCTAGCATGACACAATCTACCAGCCTTAATGATTCAAATATAGATTTTAGGTTTACCAAGTACAGTTTTTGAGACCGACACTTTTTATTTCAAAAGTCTTGGTATGTTTATTATTGTTATATAACTTATATTCTTCTTGGTGCTTGCAGAACATGAGGCCTAGTGTGGAGGGTTTTCCAGAAGTTCTACTTCCCTTATTGCAGTCTTGTTGGGAAGAAGACCCAAAGCTACGACCTGAATTCTCAGAGATCACCCAAATCCTTGAAAAGCTTCTCCACAACTACCACTCAACAGAGATATCACCTGAGGAAAAAGGGTTTCCAACTACAAATATGCAGGAACCTATCCCTAATTATGTTGAAATC